CAATTATAGAAAAAAAATTTTCAATTTATGCAGTGTTTGTATTTCTGGAAAACTAAATTTATTTTTGAACAGTTCAAAGACAATGTATGTATAAGTACAACTTATACATTCTAGAGTTCAGGTCTAGAACGTGGGATCCATCTTCGTTATGTGTTTTTTCCTGCGCATTCTAGAACACCGAGCATCCCCTCCCTCTCCCCTCCCCCACCAAATGTCAGTATCCTCCCCATTGCAGCAAAACACTCCCACAAACACCCAAAATGCCCGAGGGGGCAAATGAGTCCCACTGAAAGCCACCAACCTAGGTTAGTGGTTGCAGCAGACCTTTTCCGGCGGAATAGCCCCATTTGGCTTCTTTCTTTCTTTCTTTTTTAATTTGGCTTATCTCTAATGAAATAGCATCAGAACCTAAGTGTACACCTTGGCGGAAAGTACCACTGCTCTAGCAGTGAAGCAGGGATGTCCACTCTGCCCAACCCCTATTGCACCGTATCCACCCCCTCCCGCACCTGTCAGAAAACCCCGAGTTCCCAGTGCTCAAAACTTGGGGCTCCAAATAGCCCAGTTTCATAATTCACTAGACCCACAAACTCACGTCTGCTCTCTAAAGCATGCATGTGATGAGTGGGAGCCATCCTGCCCTCGAGGAGTTTTGAATCTGATAAGTCAGGTGAAAACTTTTGATGAGGTGGTTAAAAAATCTACATTGGCCACAGTGGGGGCAAAAGGCTGCCAGTCAGAAGATGTGGTGGTCTGTACTTCAGACAAGATGCTCATCTTCCCTGAGAAGATATCAGCCTTTGGTGAGTGGAAATATTTTCAGCAAAAATCCTGTTCTTCTAAATGTGTTAACACTGGTTCAATATTTTGTTTCTATTTCTGTTGGAAATGACAGCATGGAAAGAATGTTTATATCTTTCGGTAATGTATGTATATATATACACACACATAGGTGGTTGGACCAAGGAAACAGAATTGATGCCAGTCACTAGAAGGTCAAGTTTTTGTGGTTATTTTTTTTTAAAGATGTACCTTTCACTTGCTTGAGAGAAAAATATGAATAGTGTGTGTTTGTGACCACACAATGAAATATAAAATGTAAGATATAATTTAAATTATCGATAAAATGACAAATGTGCATGTGATGTGTGGTATGTTTTGGGAAGCCTGTCCTGTGGTTTTTTTGTTGTTGTTGTTTTTTGTTTTTGATGTCATCTGATACCTCCAGTTCGGCTCAGTTAAAGGTTAGCCAAGACAAGAGCTCAAATGAGTCATCACACACAGCCTTTCATAATTTATCGCTCAGGCTCTCCCAGATATTACCCAGGCTCTGATTTCTTTTATGTCCTCTCCAACTTCTCAGCCTGGCTCCAGCCTGAAAGCCACAGTCCTGGGCAGAGTCATTAGCATGGGCTTTGAGAGTCCGAAGTGGTCACCTTGGCTGTCCTGGGAGCATGACTCCTGTGGATCTCAGGGCAGCAGGTAAAACTGACTGAAAGCCGAGACCAGATGTAGCAGAGGAGGAGTTAGACACATTCACACACTCAGGCTCACA